TATATATATATATATATAAAATAGAGGAAATGACATACCACGCCAATCCCATTCCCCTCCCAGAGGTAACCACTGTTTGTCAGTGCTTTGATGGAGTCTCGCACACACAGATATGCAATTCCCTGCCTCCTCCGCAGCCTAGAGATAATTTATAGTTCTGTGTGTGTGGCAGTGTGCTTTTCACAAAGATATCAGTGGTAACACATTGTTCTAAAACTTGTTTTTTATAACTTAACAATGCATCTGGGTGATTATCCAATGTCACTCCACATAGATCTACCTTGTTCTTTTTTTTTTGCGGTATGCAGGCCTCTCACTGTCGTGGCCTCTCCCGTTGTGGATCACAGGCTCTGGACGCTCAGGCCCAGGAGCCATGGCTCATGGGCCCAGCCGCTCCGCGGCACGTGGGATCTTTCCAGACCGGTGCATGAACCCGTGTCCCCTGCATCGGCAGGCGGACTCTCAACCACTGTGCCACCAGGGAAGCCCTACCTTGTTCTTTTAATTGCCGCATAACGTTCCACTGTAAGGTATTTTCTGTGTAACTGTAACTCCACTGATAAACCTTTGCTTACTTTGGGTTTTCTGCTAGTACAATGGTACGTGTGCCAGTCCATGCTTTGGTGCATTTTGATGTACTCCAGGACAGGAACCTGGGCATGGACTGCTGACTGGTGGTAATTTTACTTATAATCTAGGGAACACTTTGACTGGGATCACATAAACATGGGCCAGATCTCTGACAGAGCAGAACAACAGCACAGCTCCCAGAAGGGGCTGCCCCACCCGGGACCCTGATAGAGAGGCCTATGCAGCTCATCCAGGGGTGGGCTGGGAGCAAGATGGGGGGGGAGGGGGGAGGCGGAGCGTCACTCCTGGGCGGAGGCTGTAATGGGGTCCTTCTTTTGTATAGGTGACTTTGTGTCGGGTGTCTCAGCAGTGCCTCTGGGCTTGTCAGTGGGTTGCCAAGTACTTAAAGGCAAATACAGCTTCTTTTTCTTTTCTTCCTCAATCTCAGTAAATTTCCCATAGCTGCTCTCAGCCCCAAGAGATGGGCAAAAGTCCAGAGTTTTTGTTTTGAGACTGATAAGGGAAAAGAACATAATGATAGCACCAATTTAGAGAAAGAAGATTAGGCAGACCTGTGTACAAGGTATGGTTATTATTCTTGATATGTCATCACAAAAACACTCCATGTCATCTGCGACCTTGTGCAAGTTTTAAAAAATTGGCTGTTTTTGCCAGAACTGTCATCATATTTATAAAAGACACATGTATAACTTAGATATAATATGGGACCTATAAATATAATACATAATTTTTATACAAAAGATATTTATAAAAGGTTGAAAACATCTTTAGAAGCTGAGGAGGTGTTTTTCTGAGACCACATTCTTCAGGTGGAACATCTGTACTTTTCACTCATCCCACCCCCACTCCTAGAGCCCTCTATCTCCTACCTGACCTCATTATTGTATCCATCTCAAGCTTTTACCTTTATGTGTTTTAAGGATAAGAACATCAAATTTGGAAACACAGAAACATCATTCACATCAGAACGAAGCATGAATCAGCTCTGAGCTGGAATGGAAAGTTTGTTAAGAGCCTTTGCAGCCACCTGGAGCCACCCTGACCTGCAGCTGTAAGAATGAGCCTGAAGCATGGCACACCCCACGCGAGTGCTCTGCCCAGACCTCCATGCGCCCCGATGCCAAGGCACTCAAGCAGACTCCTTGGTCCAGTACTCAAGGCCCTCCGTATGGTCTGGCCCCATCCACCTTTCCCACCTTAAGGCCCACTCCTCCTCCCCTTTCTGTGAGTTTTGCTGACCCAGAAGTGGTTTCTTTACTGACTACATTCCATACCTCTCCCACGCTTTCCGGCCTCTGAATATTTACTCATGCTGTGTCCTCTGCCTAGAACATTCTAAGCTTCCCCTTTTTTAGGTTCAGACTCATTTCTCCGGACCACCTCCTCCTGAAGTTCCCTGGCGCTCTGAGTGGACTACGTCCTTCCCACCTGTGCCCTCTCTTTCGGCACTACTCACTTTCTCAGGGGCTGGAATCTGAGCTTCCCTGTCAACTGAGGGCAGGACCCGTGACTGACTGGAGAAGGGCAAGAAGTATTCACAAATAACCGTACCCATCTTAGCGGAAACCAATGTCAGGAAACAAATTATAAATGGGTCCACAAAGATCTCATCCTGGCTGAGTAAGAATATGGAAGGAAAAAAACCTAAACCTCAAGACATGCACAGAAGGTCAGCTGTGACCACAGAGGTGCTTTATTGTGCTGCCTATATCAAAAAGTAACAAGACTAGTGCCTTTTTTAAGAAACAGGAGTATGACAAGCAAGAAACCACCCTCTGCCTAGAAGTGTACCGCCTAGTCCTACGTTAAAGTATTTTTTCTAAGTTACGTCTCATGTTTCAAAAGCAAAATGAAAAACCTGAAAAGATAAGCAAAAAGACACCACATAGCCCAGATTTTTAAAATCCTTCTGCTAACTGTAGATAACCTTAGCAAAACGTCCATGGACAGGAAGAAGCTATCTTCCAGTGGCACAGAGAAAAAGGCAGATATATGACCCCTAAGAGGAACCAGCTGGGTGTGGGGGACGAGGCTTACCTGCCAGCATTGAGGTGGGGAGGGAGATGAAATGGCAAAGGCCCTGGAAAACTGGCAGCACCACGGAGGTCTGCACAGGCTTCTCCCCTCCCCACACATTCCCCTTAGGTGACGCATCCAGGCCCGCGGCTCTGAACTGCCTATGTCCTATGACTCCCAAAGACCTCCAGCCCTGAGTTCTTCCCTGATCTCTAGACTCACTCCAACAACGGACTCACTATTTCCACCTGAAAATCCAACAGGCATCTCAGACCTCACACGTGTAGCCAGAATATGATTCTGCTCCCTCCCACTCCTCCCGGCCTCACTGCCGAACCTCATCTTCCTCGCACCTTCCTCATCTTGGTCGGTCC